GTTTCAAAACACTTAGAAAATTTGAGAATTGGGTACCGAAATCGACTCTCTGAACTTCGTAACGAAATGGCAGGATGGACAGTCACAGGTGTGACGGACCGTCACAGAGCCTTCAGTGGAAATCCACTCTCTGGACCTTGCCACGACCTGCAGGACGGACCGTCGCAGGCACGACGGGCCGTCGCAGGTTGCGCAGTCCCAGTCTGGGTCGGATTTCTTTATACGTTTTAAGGAACGTTTTTGACTATTCCTGCTTTAATTATAAAGTTGGTGGGTTAATTCTAATAAGTCTAATTACTTGGGGGTTAAAAGAGGTAACCTTAAGTTAATTAGTGGGTTATTATTGTCATCTTTTATTCTCAATTATATACTAATTAGGGTAAAAGAAAGAGGGTTTAAATAAAGAAAATAGAAAGAGCAAAGAGAGAGAGAGGATTGATCGAGAGAGGAGAAACAAAGAGGAAAACACAAAGCTTTGGGAATTTGCTTGCTTGATCACTAATCTTCGGTGGAGGTAGGTTATGGTTTTCATGCTTTCATAGTAAACTCTTAATAGAGAATGATATGTATTGATAGTATTGTAAACCCTGCTATGTGCTTAATTGTATGCATGCATGAATGTGATTATATTAAGCATGATGAAGTTATTGAATCCCAAATCTTGATAAAAACCTAATCTCTTGTTAATGATGATGCCTTGGTAAGGGAGAAGGCTTGATGAACTAAAGTAATGAGATTGATGATGCCTTGGTAAGGGAGAAAGCTTGATGAATTTGATTTGAAATAATGTAGGTACTCTATTTGAACTGCTTTCTCCTTCCGACATTCTGATATAAGGAGAAGAGTCGTATTTACCCACATTCTTATTTCTTGTTCGCATATTTGGAGTCGTGGTGGCATTAAGAATCGGATCCAGGGCAATTATTTGTGTCATGGTAAAATCAGGATAATCGTCCAATGTTGGTGGTTTTGATTTTGACGCTGTAGATGCATCAATATTTAAACAATCATCCGTTGATTTTTGAGCTGCATATACATGAAAAAATGTTAAATAAAAAAAATTCTAAAATTTGAATTTATGTGATAAAAATGAATATATCGTACCAGCTGTGTTTGAATTTTGGACTTGTTGTGGAATTGTCTCTGTAGGCATATCTGTCGGATCATGTTGTGCAGCATGATGGTTGACGTTTTCCTGAAACATGTATTCATACACATATAATACACAACTAAAGCAGTGAATCATACACAATTCTAATAAACTTACAACATAATATTGAGAAATACATAATAGTATACAAAACATGATACAATATAATCAAACACATTTCAAACAACCTTACAACAATCTTTCATACACAATATACAAATCAAAACATAAAGTATAACTAATTATGGATATTACTTTTCACCAGTATCAGAAAACTTGATACAACAAAATTTATACACAATGCATACACATTTCATACATATTTTATATATACAGTGATATGATAGTATACTGATTCATACACAATTCATACATTGGATCGTACACATTTCATACAGTTAATCATACACACTTTATACAGTGAAACATACATAAAAAATACATGTTTCAGCAATTGATATTGTAATATGAAGAAATCTGTAATTTCATACAGTGAATCAAACACAATTCATACAATATTTAATTACACAAAATTTATATATTAAATATTTTATACCCAAAAAACAGAAAATAAAAATAACATAATTTATATATTTTTCAAACAAAATTCATACATAAAGTATACACAGATATATATACCTCTGGTTGTTCTTCAGGTATTTGTTCTCCTCTTGACAATCGAATCTCATCAATTATCATTTTGGTGGAGTTATCAACATACATCTTTATATCAGCCATGTGCTTGTGAACCTTATCGGTGAACATAAAAAAATTTATACATTCATAGTTTATAAAGTCATTATATTAATTATATAAAAATATGTTGGAACTTACAGTGATTTTGAGTTCTTTCAACTCTGCCTTAACCTTTTAATTAAAAAAATAAGTATTTGATATGTGTACTGTAATTTCAAAAAAAATTATGTTTATTTGAATATTTTACTTGTACCTCTGCAATATCAGCTCTCAATTCTTGAACTTTATGTTCACTGTCAACAGCACGATTTTCCGATGATCTTGGATTTTCTGAATCCTGGTGGCTGCTGGACTGATTTATAATGGTCTCGTCCATTAGATTTAACTCTGCTTCCGATAAGACAATATTTCTGAATTTATGCTGCATCAAAAAAAAAGTATAATGTATAATGAATTATATTGAATGTAATAACATTATAAGAAAAATACCTGATTCCCATGAGTTCTGAAAATTGTTTTCTTCAAATCGTCAAAAAAAATGACATCATTCGGTGTCTTTCAGTTCAGTATTCTCGGTGTGCGATTTGAAACTCGTATAACAATGGTGTTGTCAAATGGATGACAACACTCATAAAACCATATCTGCAGTGTT